CAGTATCTTCAATGATGGATGCGAGGACGCGGCCCTGATCGCTCATCAGCACGTGACCGGCCGTATAAAAGGCGGTATGCTGCGCCTTGAGCGAATCCGGCATGTTGTACCTCTCCGACGGATACGCCGCATGATACAGCAGCGCAGACACATTCGCTGAATCGCCCGCGGCCGTCAAGGTGACCGACTTGCCTTTGCCAATATAGGCGGACCATTTGCCGCCGGGTCCCATCGTAATCGAAAAGCTTGCTGTCATTTTCATTCCTCCTATGGAGCAGGCCTGCTGCTGGCCGGACATAAACGCCAGTGAGCCCCAAACCTGCCAATTAAAAATAAAAAAAGCCCGGGAGAAACATCAAAGCGTGCTTTGATAGATTCTCCCGGGCTTTTTTCCCGCCGTGTACACCAGGCTGCCCCGGTGCGCCTTCTCTCGGACCAGCCAGCCGATGAATTTCATCGACCCGGAACCCTAGAAGACATTTCGTATGCGGTTGTTTATGTTAAGAATACTAACATGATTTCTTGGCAGCATGCAATAAAAACTTACAAAAAAATTTATAGAAATACGGATAATCGGTTGTAAAAAGCGGTTTAATGTGAGGTTATAGGCCATAACAAAACATATGTTTGCATGTAAACTCAGAAAAAAGACTTGATTTTTCGGAAATAGCCTGCAAAAATGTGAGATGTCATGACATATCGAATCGCCGTCAGTTGCTTTATCCCTTTGGAGGAGGAATGTTATATGTCAAATAACATAACATTAAAAAGAGATTTATCCTTGTCCCATGTCGTGACCATGGGCCTGGCCTGGATGTCGCCCATGATCTTTTTCACCAGCTTTGGCGTGCTTCACGAGGGTTCGGGAGGCATGCTCCTGGCCGCTTACATGCTGGCGTTTGTAGCCATCGTCTTCACTGCGGCAAGCTACGGGCAAATGGCGAAGGCTTTCCCCGTCTCGGGTTCGGCGTATACCTACGTGACCAAAGCGATGAACCCGTTCCTCGGCTTTGTGGTGGGCTGGGCCGTCCTGCTCGACTATTTATTTTCGTGCATTATCGCTGTGCTCATGTTCGGAATTAATTTGAACGCGCAGTTCCCATCGGTTCCCTCGGCGGTCTGGATCATACTCCTGACAGCTGTCGTTATGGCGATCAATATCATTGGCATCAAAACATCGGCCAATGTCAGCAAAATTTTCGTCCTGATGCAAATTTTGTTTATCGCCGGCTTCTGTGCGCTCCTGGTATATAAAGCACTGCAAGGCGGGATTACCGCGGGACTCGACCCGTTTGCCGCAGGAAAAGGCGTCTCATTCTCTTCCATTCTGGCCGGAGCCTCGCTGGTCTGCTTCTCCTTCCTCGGATTTGACTCCATTACGACGATGGCCGAAGAAACGAAAGACCCGAAGAAGACAATCCCCCGTGCCATTATGGTCATTGTCATCCTGGCCGGGCTGATGTATTTTGCCACCGCTTATTTAATCCAGCAAATGTACCCTTCCTTTTCGTTTGCGAGCGCCGACTCCGCCGGCTTCGAGCTGATGCAGTCCATCGGAGGCAGCGTGCTGGCCTCGGTGTTTACGTTCGTCATCATTTTCTCCATTCTGTCCCAGGGCATGTCCTCCATGACGACCGTCACCCGGCTGCTGTTCGTCATGGGTAGAACCTCTCTCCTGCCCAAAACATTCGCTTCCATCCATCCCAAGTTCCGTACGCCCGTGTTCAATATCGTGCTGGCCAGCGTGATTTCCTTGTCCGCCCTGTTCATCAGCCTCGAAACGGCGATCAAATTCGTGAATTTCGGCGCACTGACGGCGTTCCTGTTTGTCAACCTGTCGGTGATTTTCCACTACATCGTCCGCAAAAAGGGCCGCACTCCCAAGGATCTCATTTTCCGTCTTTTGTGCCCGCTGCTCGGTGCCGGCTTCGTGCTGTACCTCGTCACCCTTCTGGACGTTTCCTCACTGCTGCTTGGCGGCGGCTGGCTCGTATTCGGACTGCTGTTCTATGCGCTGCGGCGGGCCAAACCGGCGGTACATGAAGCACCGGCTGCGGAAATGGAGAGCGTAGTTTAAGGGAAAATGACTGCTCACCATCTGCCGTTCACGCAAGAGCAGCGGAATTTCGAAAAAAAAAAAAAGAAAAAGGACACGGCCGCCTGAACCGCTCAGGTGCTGCCGTTGTCCTTTTTTAACTGGAGCATGGAACTATCCCAAATCCAACATATCGTCCGCAATGATTCCGTTTTGCACATACCGGACCAGCTTGCCGGCTTCATTCGAAGCCCGGTTGAACCCTTCCGGCGTCAACCACCAGTTGTCCTCCCGGGTCGACGCATCCTCTGCGGCACACATCGAGTATTCGATCCAGGAGGGCATGTACGTCTTTAAGGTCAAGTACGCCCGCCGCATATGGTATGCGTGGAGCGGAATGGCCCGGTCCAGGACCAGCAGCGAGGCAAGCACGTTCTCCTTCGTATGCCGTGACTCCTGTTCCACCAGAATTTGTCCGGCAGGGACCCCCAGTTCCACCGCCCTTTCCTTCATCATCAGCGCCTCGGGCAGAGGCTGCCCTTTCCAGATCGTCCCTCCCGAAAAAAGAATCATCGGTGCCCGGCCATCCTTGTATAATTGAACCGCTGCGGGAACACGGTACTTTGCGCCCTTGTTGCTTCCGAACACGAAAATGCAGTCGCCCGGCCGACCGTCATCGGAAATTCCCTTGTACAGCAGTGCGTTAATTTGCTCGTGCGATAATTGGCCGGGATTGCATTCTGAAATCATCATCTCCGGCACCCCCGTTTTCCTATGGATTTCTTAGTAAATCTTGCAATAAATGATAGAACCACTTCAATTGTATGAAATAACAACTGAAATGGTTCTCAATTACACCGTATATGATGACGATGCCCAGGCAACGCCTCGCTGATCAAGGGAACTATCGGAGTAGCGGGATTCGAACCCACGGCCTCACCCACCCCAAGGGTGCGCGCTACCAGACTGCGCCATACCCCGATATATGAACCGCATAAGGCGGTAAATCAACCGCATAGCGACGCGGCTTCAAACGTTCAATGTGCTTAGTCCATGGAAATGGTTCCATTTTCCATCGCCGTATTTAACGCTATTATAGCGTATTCGCGCGCACACCCGCAACACTTTAGGTGCGCAGCTTTGCGGATAAATTTTGGATCTCAGCAATCGGTCAGAGGTAATCTTCGCTTAATCGCCGTAACCACGATCAGATGCGGATGATGACTTTTCCTCAAACGAACATCACGAACTTTGCAGACGGCTTGATGACAGGTACAAGAAGAAAGAACCGCAGCAAAGCGGTTCTTTCCAAATGATGTAAAGTATGCTATTTAAACGTATAGCCGTGTTTTGGAAAACGTAATTTATGCCCGCATTTGAACCAGCGCCTGCCCTGTTGCAGCTTTTTCCCGATTGCCCAGCAGCGAGGAAATTTCGTCCACGGTATAGTATCCGGCGAACCGTTTTTTCCTTACCGCCTTCGTCAGCCAGCTGAAAAAATCCCACACCGGGTCGTCGACCCATCTTCCGTTATGGTTGACCAGAACGGGCGTATACGAGATTTTCAACGCACAAGCGCCCTGCCATTCGAAAAAGAAAATGTTCTCCGTATTTTTTTTCTGCAGCAAAAAGGAGTAGCAGCCCTCCTGAAGAAGATATTTGTCCTGGTTGTGAAAGAAAACCGGTCCTTCCGCCGTCGCCACGATCCCAATCAAGTCGCCGTTGTGATGAACGTAAAAACCCCGGGTATATTCGATGTTCATATCGGATGTGAGCCGAACCTCTTGAAGCGAGTAAGGTTCGACTCCCCGGTGTCTGGTTTGCGCTGCGTCCTGAAAATGACTAATGATTTTCATGATTACACATAACCTCCCTCTTCGTACAACGCTTCAATGAGTATACCGCTTGATTCTATACCAATTCTGAACATCGCGGGCATCCCTATCCTTTATCCTCATAAAACACATGCCGGGGCAAGACTTGTCCACCCTTGATTTCAAGCAGTCCAAACGAATACAGCTTCTCCCTGCGCTTGTCCGTAGGAGAACCGGGATTAAACATCAGCACGCCGTCGTCCATCTGCAGGTAAGGCTGGTGGGAATGGCCGAACAGGATGCAGGAAACCGGCTCGCCCTCAAAAGCCTTCCTGGCCTTCTGCGGAGTAGTTATTCTTGATGAATAAGGCTCATGTCCGTGAATAAGCCCGATCTGTACCCCTTCAAAGGAAAGTATCTTTTTTTCGCCAAAACGCTCAATGATCTCGTACCCGTCATTATTCCCGGCGATGCCGTCCACAGGAGCTAATTTCGACAGCTGATCGTACACCTCCAGGGTCATCCAATCGCCCAAATGAAGAATATGGTCCACCTCCCGGAACGCTTCCGTCAGCTTTGCGGGGAGCGTTACTCGCCCTTCGCTTAAATGCGTATCCGAAACAACGCCGATGATCATGGTTACTCCTCCTTTTTTTCAATTTGATCACCCTACCGGCAATCACTTGAAGAATGCATTTTTCCAGTTACTCCATCTATACCCTGCCTGACCGATCATCATAAGTACACTTGTGCAGCTATTTTCCCCTGGTCCAACTATTATAGCAACGCCCCTGCCTGTGGTCCCGCACAAAAAAACTGCCCCGCGGCTTCCATAGGGACAGTTCAACGTCCAAAAGGTGCCGAGAGGCAGTCTAAGAGCAGCCTGTGTTAAGGCTGTCATGGTACAGTCACGGTACTTCATGGTACTAACTTGGCCACGCTCAACTTCGTCCCAACGAACCTGAAGCAGCGAGCGCCCTGCCGCCAATCAATACTTGATCAAGTCGGCACGCAGCGGCGTGAAGCAGTCCAGCAATGCGCTGGCTTCCAGCGCCTTCGCCCCATGCCTGGCGCCCATCGGAATGACGATGTGCTCGCCTTGCGCGATGACCGTCTTCTTCCCTTCGATCGTGAACTCGACGCGTCCCCGCAGGCAGTAGGACATCTGCTCATGCGGGTGGGCATGCTCATATCCTTCTGCACCGGCTTCAAAATGTACTTCCATCATCATCAGCGACGCCCCCGGCTGCAAAATTTTGCGTTTTACGCCGGGCTCCGCGTCCTCCCAAACTCCGATATTGCTCACGATTGTTCCGCCTCCTTATACTGGTCATTTCATAAACTAAAACGCCTTCGCGATTTCGATTTTCTGCGTTTGCCCGTTGTCCGTCAAATACAAATTATAACTGAATCCTTGATCGTCCATAAAATAAGAAATGTATTTGGCGGCCTCATTTAGCCGCTTTGGCACGAGCAGCGTGGCGATCCGGTGCGAGGACGCAGCCTTCGTCTCTGCCGACAGATGCCAGTGCGTATCGAGCCCGACGATTTCCTCGGGATCTACGCCCTCGAATCTGCTCGTCTGCGACAGCGCAAGCTCTCCGGATGTGCTGAAGATGAAGCTCCCTTCCATCAGGGCTTTCTTGCCGTTCACATGGAAGGACTGGCCCTTCAGCTCCATCTCGTACAGCGTGTGAAAGAGCCACTGCACCCGTCCCGGCTGCTCCAAGTCGATCGAATCGACAATAACGAAGTGGCTGTTTTGTACAAAATAAATCTCGCGCTTATACTGCTTCAAATACGGTACATCCTCCCGGTAAGCGGAGGTTGGATTCAAACGGGTGTAGGATACGCCCTTGTCATGCCAGGCGTCCTCGACCTCCCCTTTGGCCGCCAGGTTCAGCGCCTTGTTCATGCCGGCGAACTGCCCCTGCCCGTCGATGAGGACGGCGTTTTTGGACTTGGTCTGCCTGCGCCAGTTCAGATGCATCGAGCTGTTAAACGCGACATAATACCCGCTCTCAATGGCCAGCGGCTCCCCGTAAGCGTGCAGCAGGAACGCGCCCTGATCGCCATGGCTGTGGCTGACCGAGCCGTACTGGCTGCTCTTGGCGATCAGGGAAATCTG